GGGGAAACAAACTGATTTGAATTTACCCAATATCCATGCACTTTTCACTTGGCTAAGACAAAATTCACAATCAAAAATTCCGTGTAACTAACCTAAAAATAGATTCTTCAGCGTTTTCTTAATTCCTCATAGGTGTTCGACCATGTTCATGGGGGTTCGATTGTTCCCGCTCAGGCCGGATCCTCGAGTAACTTCGGAGTATGTGCACAGCTCGTACACTCTTCGGAAAGGTAAGCTGGAAAACCTGCAAGGTCTGTTGAGGAGGACTGAGGGAGGCCTGTCTCTAACGGAAGAGCTTATCGCTTTCGTTAAGCAGTGCTTTCCCGGAATTGAAATTGTGTAAATGGCAGACTGACTAAGGCATTGTTATATTTTCTTTGTACCCTTTTAATGAATAATCGAGATGCGATTAAAGGGACGCTGACCGTGTTAGCCTATAATTTGATGAATGATTTGCTGTTTATTATTTATTTTCACGGCCGTTAAAAAAATAGATAAGTTAATAATCATAAATAAACAAAAGATGAAATAAAAGAAGTTGATAAAAACAAATGAAGCCAGGGGTTCCATTGTTCCTCGAGGATCTCCGGGTAACTTCGGAGACCCTCGGATAGTTTTCGGTTAATCTTCGGAGTATGTATTCGGAGGTCGTACACTCTTCGGAAAAATCTTGAAAAAAGAAAAGAGAAGAATTGAAAAAAAGATCCTTCAAAATTTCAGGGCTCTCTGGGTAACTTTGGAAAGCATCGAATAATCTTCGTGTTAATCATCGGAGTATATTCGGAGCTCGTACACTCTTCGGAAAATCGTCGGAGTCGTTTTGAATTAAAAAAATAGACGTTGAAATATTCCGGCGGAGTTCCGGATTCCGGCTTTTCCAGACTATCATTTTTAGAATGAGTGACAGGGATCAAATGTCAAGTACTTTTACTTCGTTCGAGATTTTTGCCTTGTGAAGATCGAGTATTCACCAAGGAGGATTTGTCCTTAGTCAGAATAAAGTAAAACTTTGAGTTTATTGAGTCGTTCTTAACAATAATCTTAACTAACTTATTTTAATTATTTTAAACTATTTTTGAACTGTGACTTTGTAAATAGCGCCTTTGGACCCATGGGAAAGAGCGCTCTATAAATTTCTTATTATTATTATTATTATTATTATGCTGGTCACTCTTAGGGTTTAAAGGGTTAATATAAATTTCTATAATATAATGTTAGTTTCTACCTAAAAAAATTGAGTATCAAATGACAGAAGGCCTTCATAACTTCCAGTACCTATTTGCTTGTTTAGCCTGTAAACTTGTTTCTTATATAGTATATACATAATTATATAATTGTCAAGGGCATAGTGGACTGAATAGTCTTCATGAAATTATATGAGATCATGTCAAATAACTTTGGAGGTTGAATGATACCATACTGCAGGGGCGTAGCCAGGATTTTTCAAAGGGGGGGGGGGGGTCACAGAGGCTACTCACCATTTACACCGCTGCTCTCCCGCGTGTGTCAGCGGGTTCAGTCGTATTATCGCGGTATGAAGGCCCACATCAATGGCTTTTACGGCCAAGATATTGTCATGGCGTTTTCGTCACCTGAATATTGTAGGTTGTTTGCTCTAAAGAAGACCTACCAAGGGGGGGGGGGGTCACGGGCACCCCAGGACCCCCCTGGCTACTCCCTCGTACTGATTTTTAAAGCAATATCATTTGACCCATTGTGTCCTTTGCAAGTGTTGTCAAATCCTTTTATATCTCCATCTC